ATGTTGGAACTCCGTCAACTGTCCCCGAAGCGGTCTGCATGGTCCCCTTTATGGGATCACACGTAGGTGTGAGCGCCTTGAGGGTATCCGGGTCAGACAGCAAGCTCGGGTCAAGTAGACCAATCTGCAAACATGCATGCGTCCATTTTCGTCCATCATTGAACGCCTTGGTGTAAATGTCAGCCGCCATTCTGTCGGTGACCTCATACGCCAAGTACATGTAATCACGTGTGAACATCTCATGCATCCACGAAATGCTAACACCATGGCTTCTCTCAAGGTGGCGCATCGTGGGGTTTCTCCCCGATCGCACGACACCGATCATAGCCTTGTTATCGTCATAGAACACTAAGTTCGGTGACTTCTTGAGAATCCGCTCTACCAGCTTGAGAGCGGGCATACCCATCGATCTCATGGCAACATCGGCCGCAACAATCTCGGCCTCGGGAGTGGAGTGACTCACACAACCCTGTCTTTTGGAGCTGCCAGACAACGGAAACCGGGTATTAGGCCCTTGTATATTCAAGTGTCCACCGGAGGTGGAACGCAGCGAGTCAATGCATCCCGCAAAGTCAGCGTCCGCATACAAGGCCAAGTGCACATAGTCCATAGGGTCTCCAACCCAACCGACCATGCGCCAATGTTTGGTATGATGCACATAGCACATCAAGTGATGCAAACCCCGATCATCGGAGTCAGTCCACCTATGCACGTTCCGTGCTAGGCGATTCACTTGCCGCAACAAATCGAAGCGAGCAATCCGCGCACCGTTCAGCAACTTCATCAGTACGCTAGCGGCATGCGGAGCAAGGTGTCCACGCACGGGCTCCTTCATGGCCAACTCAGGAGTCCCTCCCCGTTGGTCCGGCACTGTGGCAGAACCGTCGGTGGGCACAAGATTGTTACACCAATTGCACACGAATGACGGCCCCTCTCTGGCAGGCTTCCGTGAGACGTGATTCTTTGTTTCTTCATGCAACTCAGGGGTGACAACCTTATTCAACTTCACGTCGCCCGCCACTTCAAGATAGCGGTCGACACAGGAACGTAGGAACTGTTCCATGTCATAGGTCACCGTTGTTACTCGGTGTCCGTTCACGAGAGTGACGTTTCCCTTGCTTTGATTGCAACCAAGGTACATGTCAAGTCCAGTCTCGGGCTCAATCTTCAAACGTGTACGCAACATGCTCCACCCTTGGGCAAGGTTCCTCTGTGGCCCTGCCATTTTGAAGTCGTCGACATACACAACCAGAACAAGCTGGAGCCTTTCATGAATGTACACTGAAGGCCATTCTTCGCCGATGGGCTCAAAACCAACGGCACGCACCGACTCATCGCAGTGCTGCTCCCAAAATGTTCCCGCATCTGGGTGTCCGTACAGCGCCTTCCTCAAAGGGACGACTGGTCTTCTGTACTTATCCCATTTGCATTCACCTGGCACGGCCTCCGGTGGCAATTCAATCCAACACGGCGTGCCTCTCAAGGTGGCCTGTATATACGCCTGAACAGCGTCGGCCATCTGCACATCCCAGCCATCATGACAACCCAGAAAATCCGCCCAAAGCGAGGCTTCAAATGAAGCAGGGGAGTTCCCCAAATCTTGAAACATCGCAGCCTCAAAGCTTTGGTTCTTCACTTGGTTCCCCAGCAACACGCCTCTACCCTTGAACTTCCTCTTAGGATCACCAACAGGCAACTGTGAGTGCTTTTCAACGCAAATGCCATGTGAGCGAGCCATGTGTATTTCCTCCCCCTTCGCTTTTGCTTCTCTGGCTACAGCGTCATATTCACGCACCGCGCCAAGATCGAAGACCCCCTGGTCGATTA